ATAAAACATACTGGTATAGTGTTGTGAATATTCATGAAATAATTGAAAACAATTAAAACACTATAATTAAGAAAATGATTGAAAAACTAATAGAGAAGACATGGCTGTGGAAAGGGTTTACGAAAGTGTTTCTTTGTATTATTGGCATCACATCTATAATTATTATATCATATGTGGCCCAACAAGTGGTCGATGATATAGATGCTGGTGATACTAATAATTACACCATGGACGCTTTAAAGATTACTACAAAAGCCAAGGTATTTTTAGTACAGTATTCTGTTATTTATTTTTAGTAGCATGTTTTACAATTTTAAAAATTTTAAATTAAACATATTAATAAATATACAATATATAAACAATTATATAAAAATTAATTACAATTATTTACCTACCCTTCAAAACTCAAATACTAGAATACAACAAAACTAATGATAACTGTGTCCACACTTATCACAATTCTGGTGGATATTCTAATATTGATGTCTGGCATAAGACAGAGATATTGGATGACATTAACGTACCTAATGCTGGCACTGTTGGTGGCTGTGGGCAGTTGTGTGATGGGTGTCCGAACCAAGTGCTGGTATTCATCAATATTGCAACTATTTATGTTAGGTCTGGCGTGCGATTTGCGTATAATTAAACATAGATTGATTGTATCTGATAAAGATGATGATAAAAATGAAAATAACATTAATAAGAACCCGCCTTCACAATTTCCCAGTTCTATGCCCATGGCGTTAAATGTTGTAAACTGTAAGCAATATGCACCTACCATGTTCACACAATCACCAAACCAAGATAGTCAACCCGAGTGTTCAATTAATATGACAAATGAAGGTAGACGTGATGCCAGTCCTGCAGACCCACCCGCCTATACATGTCTTACTAATCCTGAGCTTAAAAGAAAATGTTAAACATATGTGCATAAGCAATTTATCTACCAACATTTTTACCATTCATCTATCAAAAATAAAATATATTTTAATTCAAAACGTATTTTCCTATATTAATTGTGAAATTCCATCTTATAACATATAAATATGTTTATAACAATTCTATATAAATCAAATTAAAAATATTGTTAATTAAACTTACTTACAATTAAGAGAATTTATAATAAAATACTGTTAAATTATGAAGTTTGCTAACATTAATAAATAGCAGTCTAGCAGTGAAGCAACACTATATTTAATGCTATAAATAATTAACTTCTTTTTTCATCGATTAAAGTTATCAAACGAATTGCAATAATCGCTGAATTTAGTGATTCATGTTTAGATTGCAATAAAAACACAAATGATTTTCAAATATTAATGTAATAGATGTAACTGAATTAAAATCTAATCTAATATACAGTTTTATAAACAATTATTATTATCATAATTGATTTAGAAAAAGATAAAAGATCGTAAACATTGTTCGCTAAACAGTATTTATATTGTGTATTTAAATAACATAATGCTTATTGTTTGAGTTTATTAATCCTAATTAAACTGTACAGGTAATTAAACAAATGTCGTTCTTTCAAATAATTTTTTACATTAGTTTACATTTGTTAATATTTCTCATTGCCTCAAAATAATTGTCCATAGAATATAATGGGAAACCCTAAGAGAGAAAAATCAAATTTCCCCAAAATTTATTTAAAAAACGAACTTTTTCAACCTTAGTTATTTTATCAAAATTTGCCTGATCAAACAAACTCTATTTCTATTCACGTAGCCACAGTATTTAATGAAATACAACTAATAATACATTGCTATCATCTCACGATAATAATATATCAATAGACTAGTAATACATGTATATCTATAAGTATTGCACACCTGTTATGACACAAATGCTATCTATTCCCACACCCAATGATGTCTCTGCGAACTGTAATCACACTTCCCCTCCCAGTCCCGTATTTAAACCATGTTTAAACAAAAGCAAACGGTTCATTAAAACAATTTAGTTGTGCTATTCGTGTGCTTTATATTGTGTTTTACATTAATCAAATATCATTATCAACATTACAATATGGAGCGAGAATCGGATATGTGTTCGTTTCAATGCAAAAAGTGGACCCTGTTCACATTTTGCCTGTTGGGTATTATCAGTACATTAATTATTATCATCGCCGCCGCTGTTGTCCTCAGCAATGCGGACAAAGACCCGACACAATCAGATGAAGAATGGAAGCACATGAAGGTATAGAATATTGATTGTACCATTATGGTTTAGTGAGAATAATTTTAATACCTGGTAATTTGTGGCAATTAATATGATCACAAGTAATGTTACATTTAAAACTCACACCTTGTCAGTAGAAAAGACCTTAAAAGGTCATATAATATTGGATTTGTTACTAGACTAATGTAGATTCAGTATTATTTGGTTATTGCAATAATCTCTTACAATTTTAATATTAATGAATTAATTGCAAAACTAATTAAACCATATTGTTTTACCATAATGCACAGAAAGTGACGATAGCGGTGATCGCAACGATCGGTACGATAGCGATGTTGGTGGAAATGCTGGGCCTTATCGGTGCCATTAAAGAGCACTACTGCCTAACGATGACATACGCTATACTCATGGCATTGATTACTCTGAGCAGTATTGGCGGTGCCGTTAGGATTGGCTCGTTTTGGTTCACTTTTGTGCTCAATGTGTTGATCACTGTTTTGGCCTTTTTGTTCGCCCGAGACTTACACTATCGCCAACGCGTCCGCAACTATAGCTAAACTCGGGTCAACCCCTCCTCCCATAAGCCCTAACAACTCACTTATTATGCTCCTTTTTACCGTTTACCTAGATCATGTATGTTAGTGGTATCTGGTATTTGAGCAGAGTATTTAATGTGTACTACCATGTAATTTATCAAATTTAAAATTGGTGTTTTTTAGTCATTTTCATTTAAATTATTAACTATGTTTTTTAAACCACTTATTATAAGTATAAAATAATTTGTGTAATATTTAACTAGTACATTTTCTCAAAAAAAAATTTATAAAATAAATACGTAATTTTAGTAAATATTTAATACGAATTCTTATTAAAAAGGTCATTTAAAATTAATTGTACGTTTCACAATTATAAAATTATTTTAATAAGCAATTAAATTATATAATTAAATAAATATTTAGACAAATTATATAAAGTAATTATATAATAAAATGTGCTATATAAATGCGTTAAAATGTGCTATTTCAAGTAAAATAACCGTCATAATTATTTCAAGTGTTTGATAATAGGACTGATAATTTATTATGAATATTGTTATCAGAAATATTTACAAGAAATATCGCAAGAATTTTAATATAACAAAGTCTTTGTGTCGCTTTGACAATAAATTACAAATATTATATTACATTACTTTACTTACATGTGTTTTTATACAATTAACAAAATCAGATATTGTATATTGTTTTAAATTCTATAATTAAAGCTCGTAAATTGATTTACCTTTATTTCAAATAATGTACATTCTGTATAAAGCACAGTACAGTATAAAGTAATATGTAAACCCGAGATGATAAGTCTACATATATGTTTGTCTACTATTTATTGCATTGTTATTTTGTAAAAATATACAGTTATTATTAATTTGTAGAAAATGTAATTAACACCATAGGGATGGATACAAAACTGATAACAATTGCCAAACAAAAGAGTTTATGTTTGTCTACTATTTATTGCATTGTTATTTTGTAAAAATATACAGTTATTATTAATTTGTAGAAAATGTAATTAACACCATAGGGATGGATACAAAACTGATAACAATTGCCAAACAAAAGAGTTTTATATGATTTTATGAAAGTAGGTGTTTGACTGCAAAATAAAATTTTAATTCATCTTATTTTATTATTAAAAATAAACAATATTTATAATTAACACTGAAATAAAACTTCATTCAAACAAAATGGACGGAAGGGACGGAAGGGAATCCGATTTGTGTACATTTAAGTGCAAAAAGTGGACACTGTTTTCATTTTGTTTAATTGGGATCATAACAACCCTAATAGCGGTGATTGCGTTGTGCGCCGTTATATCGGTGCTTGAAAATCACGACCCTGGTCACATTTCCGATGTCGATTTTCGCAATGGAAAGGTATGTAGGGTAATTACTATTTGGTAGTAATTTATAGTATAAATAAAACCTAGGGCATCGTAAAAGTTGTAGGAAAATGTAGGCAATTTCTCAAAAATATAAATGCCCTTAATATTTAATTAAATGACTACATTGTAATAAAAATATAGAGAGTGGCCATAGCGGTGATCGCCACCATTGGCACCATAAGCATAATGTTTGAGTTACTCGGCCTATTGGGCGCCTATAAAGAACACCATTGTCTAACAATGACCTACGCGGTGCTGATGCTGTTGGCCACCTGTGCCAGTATTGGCAGTGCGGCACTGGAGCCCGCCTATTGGTTTACGGTTACTATCGATGCTGTCATCACAACTCTGGCCTTTATGTACGCCCGGGACTTACGCCGGAGACAACTCCGACTGGCATTCATTCGCAGCACAGGTGGCGAAGATCCTGAGTTTTATCCCACAGTCCCTGTCTATCCACCGCCCAGTTATGGCGCCACACCCGCCACACCGGGTTCTAGTTATCCTATGCAGACCCACGTCGTGGCTGACCCTCCAGCTTATAAGGATTGAATTAAATTTATTTTTACAATTTTATACTAATAAT